TTCTTTGTAGCTTTGGTGCCTGTCCTGGAACTCACTTTGTAGATCAGGCTGCCCTGGAACTCACAGAGATCTGCCTGCCTCTGCCTCCCAAGTGCTGGGATTTAAGATGTGTGCCACGACCATCCTGCTTGTTTTGTTTCTTTTACAGCAGGGTCTCACTATGTATCCCTGGCACTCAACCTTCCTGCATTAGCCCCCAAAGTGCAGGAATGACAGGCTCCTGGAAGTCAGTTCTTTTGTTTTTTTGTTTTTTTTTTAACTTTTTTATTGAGCTATATACTTTTCTCCACTCCCCTCCCTATGTATACAGTATTCTGTCTGCATGTATGCCTACAGGTCAGAAGAGGGCACCAAATCTCATTACAGATAGTTATGAGCCACCATGTGGTTGCTGGGAATTGAACTCAGGACCTTTGGAAGAACAGCCAGTGCTTTTAACCTCAGAGCCATCTGTCCAGCGATGTGCAGAGCCTCTGGAGGTGGATGGCTGGAAGAACTGGCCCTGAAGGAATGCCGAGTGAGAAAGGAAATATCCTTACTTCAAAATCCCTCAGACTCCAGCAGAGCTGGCTGAAGAATCCTAGACGAGGATCTAAGTCTTCAGACTTGAAATAAACCTCCTACAGTTGTTTCCTGTGACCTTGGGATAGTTGACTCTCAGCCCTTACCCAGAATTCCTAAACCAGCAAACCCAGAGGGGACTCAGTATATAAATATTTTTTTTTTGTTTGCATGGCTGCTAGGGCCTAAAGGCAGAGTACTGTGTGCGGTGAGCTACTGACCTGCTACAGCATAGTAGGCTAGCTCCAACAAGCCATTTCTGTTTACTTACTTTAGTTTTTCAGTTATGTGTATATTTGTGTGTCTGTAGCTGTGTACACATAGTGTAGGTACCCTTGTAGGCCAAAGGCATTGGATCCCCTGAGGCTGGAGTTACAGGTGGTTGTGAGCCACCATGTGGGTCCTCTCCAAGAGCAGAGCCATCCATCGGTCCAACAATGAGCCTTCTTTTTTAAAATTCCTTTCTTTCTTTTGAGGCAAGGTTTTATGTAGCCTTGGCTGGTCTGGAACTTACTGTGTAGATCACGCTGGCCTTAAATAACTCAATCACAAAGACCTACCTGCCTCTGCCTGAGGGCTGGGATTATAAGCACACTCCAGCAAGCCATTTTAACAGATTTTCCCCTGTAGGACTGTTAGATAAGACAGGTACCATCCAGCCAGAGTGTAGTGATAAACGCCTGAAGTTCTCACACTCAGATGTTCAAGGCCCAGCTTAGCTACATGTTAAGGTCCTGTCGTGCATGGTGTGGTGGAGCTCAAATTTAATCCCAGCACTGGGGAGGCAGATGAAGGTAGATTTCTGAGTTCCAGGACAGCCAGGCCTACTCAGAAGCCATGGCTACTCAGAGATATCCTGTGCGTGTTTTTTTTTTTTTTTGCGGGGGTACTGTCTCAAAAAGTGGAAAAGGCAACATTGTGTACCCCTGAATCTGTGAGCAGCACCCCATTCTATCTGCACCCCCTTCCAGGTGCGGTTCCCATCCCACTTCAGCTCCGACTTGAAGGACCTGCTACGGAACCTTCTGCAGGTGGATCTTACCAAGCGCTTTGGGAACCTCAAGAATGGGGTCAATGACATTAAGAACCACAAGTGGTTTGCCACGACTGACTGGATTGCCATCTATCAGAGAAAGGTGGGTTTCATTTTTCCCAGCATGTCCAGAGTTGGGGAAAGGGAAGGAGACAGCGACGGGATCTTGTGAATGGCTTGTTAAGCCCAGGACCAAACACCAAAAGGCTTCCTGGAGCTGGTAAGGGACTGGACATGGGATGCTGGGGTCTTCTGGCCACTCTGTGGTCTTCTGGCCACTCTGTGGTCTTGGGCAGGAAATATTCTCTGGGAAATGACTTCCATTTGGTAAGTTGGGATGCAAAGAAGACACAGTGCCCTAACGTTGAGCACAGGCCTGGGCCACAGCAGTGTCTCCTGAATATTAGGCCATTCATCCTTATTGTTGTACTGGTGTGAGGTCAGCTAATGAGCTCTGGGCGATTCTTGATCCCTCTCCAGGTGGAAGCTCCCTTCATACCAAAGTTTAAAGGCCCTGGGGACACGAGTAACTTTGACGACTATGAGGAGGAAGAGATCCGGGTCTCCGTCAATGAGAAATGTGGCAAGGAGTTTACTGAGTTTTAGGGGTGTGCTTGTGCCCCGTGGGTTTTCTTTCATTCTTTCTTTTTCTTTCTTTTTTTTTTCTTTCTGGTTGGGGGTGGGAGGGTTGGATGAACAGCCAGAGGGCCCGAGAGTTCCACGCATCTAAATTAACACCCACTCCACACCCCCAGGCTAGGGAGAACAGGAAAAGCCAGGTATGGGGAAGGGGCAACATCAGCTGCTCCCCTTCTCCCCCACACGTCTCTGCCTGTTTTCAATGGATTGCTCAGCTCCAGTCACACCCAGTCTTACTGGTGTATCCAAGGGCAGGGTCTGGAAAGAGGGTCGCAAATTTGCCCCAGCCTCCACCCCCAAGCCAGCACTGGACACTAAGAACGAACAGAAAAGCCAACCTTCCCTTCCATGCAGTCCTACTTGGAAAGGGAGATTTTAGTCACATGTACAGAGGGCTGCTTGCTAGTAGGTTTTTTTCTTCTTTTTTCTTTTTTTTTATTTTTCATTTAAATTAAGTTCCACCAGTGCCTCCCACCCTCCAAAGTGTCCCACCCCTCCCAAAACCCCTCGCCACTCCCCAAATCCACTCTGATGAGGCCGGGGTAGCCAACTGACTCTTGTCAAGGAAGGAACTGGGCTTTGAACCTCGCCCTGTGCTGCTAGCTTCCCGGCCCCCCCCCTCCAGGGGTCTCATGCCAATTCTTCCGCGCATCAGCCCCCTTAAGAAGCCCCTCCCGATCCTGGGCGCCTCACTTCTAGCTTAGCTGTCAGCTGTCCATCACCTCTTGCTGTGCATCCCCACTCACTGCACCCCCAAGTCTGATTGTGCTTTTCTCTCAATAGAAAGGTGGGGAGCGACTGGGAAATTATCCCAGTTATCCCTGTGTTTGTCCCTCTTGTAACTTCTCCCAAACAGGAGGAGCTCTCAGGCCTGGGTGGGGGCCCCGGGTGGGCGAGGGGGGCCGTTCAACCTGTGTGCTGGAAGGATGAGACTTCCTCTTGAACAGTGTGCTGTTGTAAACATATTTGAAAACTATTACCAATAAAGTTTTGTTTTAAAA